AATATGATTAGGGTCGGTAGTTGAGGATACATCGAAGTCTAAAACTGATAATAAAACCTATTCAGGGGTTCGCCATGAATCATTGTGCGAAAATTCAAGAAAATCGGTTCAGTAGTTTTTTCTTCTATTATTTTTACATATTTCTTAAACATTATTCACAAATTATGTTTTTTCATTATATTATTATTTTATATGTTTATCTGACAGATAAAAATATGACATAAATGCATATTATAATAGCTATATATATATATCTACGTCCCGACTTTTGACTCTTGTATATTATAATTTATAATATTTATATATATAAATTATATATATATTATATAATATGTAATAACAAATCGCCGCACTAATAATAGAGTGACCGTTGTACTACGCCGTCAAAGTGTTATCGGAATATCTAATTATTAGTAATACTAATAAAGTAAATAATAATACAATGTGGAATATTTTTGACGAAACAACCTAATTATTGAGATATAAATAATCATGATTAATGTATCGTTATTATAATATTAAATGTATGTTAATATATTATTGTTATTCGTTGAGCATAATTACATTATGTCCATTATGAACTGTAAAACGTGTTATATTATAATATAGCAATATAGCAATTATTAATTATAACATTTTACTTTTGATTTAATAATTAATTAACAAGGGGCATTTTTTAAGTCTCTGCACATTTTTTTGTACACGATCTCTAAGAGCTTAAACACCTTGGTTCGTAAAATTTTAATTTCAACTTGAACGTTAAAAGATATAATATCTATAAGGAGAATTTTAAATATCCTCGCCTAATGTTAAGTAAACATAATACATACACGCAGTGGCGGCTCGTGTGCTTTGAAAGTGGGAAGGCGATATAAAATTGCTTATTTATGGAAAGTAGGTATCGAATACAAATAATATTTAATTAAATTAATTTAATAAAATTTTTATGTGTAGATGAATCCATGATTAAAAACTTAATAATTCCAGTATATATTTTTGGAAAAAAATATCAAATTGAAATAATTGATTGCGAGTTATGACTGCACAAAGTAAATAATAAATATACGAAAGTTCGGAATCCATGTGTATCGGGCGATTAAAATCATCGCCCCGGCGGCAGTATTATTATTGTGTTCCCCCTTCTTAATTTTTGTATTCCGATCATAGTTATGACGAGCGACTTTTAACATCGCCCAAGCATAGCATGCGCTGCTCGCGGATCTTGGTAAATCGTTATCGGTTATCGATTTTTAGAAGCTACAGTGTTGAATGATTTATTTTTAAACTCCCATTATCTGATAATGTTTTCATAATACTTAATAATGTAAATATTATAGAAAACACAATTTTTATTTTTGATAATATTATATTACAATATAAAATTAAAAATTGATAATAAACTTATACATTTGTAATAAATGATAATTTTAGAAAGGGGGCGATCGCCGCATCGCCCCTATCTACGAGCCGCCACTGCATACACGTATTTAAATTCTGATTTTCGGAATCTTTTAGTGTGTTTATAATATAAAGACGGTAATAAATTTAACGATATTTTCGAATATTGAAACTTTTCACGATTTAAGGAGTAGGTATTATCGACATCAACTTTAGTTTTTCAAATAAGATTGTAGCCATTTTAGGTGTTAGCCGTTAGGTATAAATTGATGCAAATTAAGAGAGGATTTTTCTGAAAATGTTAACGGGCATGGACACATAGTTATCATAAACGAAATTTAAATAAAAAGTTTATACTACTTTATTGGTTACCCAGTGAATAATTTTTTATCGTCATTGAAATAGTTTATAACGAGTTGAAATATTATAAAAAATTATTTAATGTTAAAAACGCAAAAAATTTTGTTTTTGAATTACAACAACAAACTAAAATCGTTAGAGGAAAAATAGTTATTTTATGAGTAACGATCGAACATCGGATGTCAAAAATACAATTCAAATTTCAAACGATCATTAAAAATGTATGCGACTTACTTTCCACAATGCACACAAAAATATCAGATATATATTGGAGTGGATTAACTAAGGTTAAGGCATAACCTAACCGGCAACACAGACCAAAGTCAAGGTACATCCTGATTCTAATAAAAGCTATTCAAAACATTTCTTGATCGTCGATAAGTTTAAAACGGTATTGCAGGTAAACAGGTTTCAATTTTCATCAAAGTATAGTTTGTCGCCGTTGAATTGTATTTAATGTTGTCTTACCCCTAACTACTGCCATCGCCACTTCTTTTGACCGTCTTTACTGGAGTTGCACAATTTAAAAAACGAATAAAATCAAAAAATAAAATTTTTAACGGATTTTCACATGAAATAACAGATTGATACAGTCACATAAAAATGGACACTTAAAAAAGGTATTGATAGAAATAGAAGAATAACAAGTATGAACAAACTTTAAACTAAATTATTGATGTTTTATATTTATTATTTTTTAAATTAAATAACATTGTAAACATAACATTTTGAATCGATTTATTGTCCGTGCATTTTTCACATATAAAAGCACCCATACAATAGTAAGGTAAAACTTAGGTTAGGTATCATAAATTACAGTACATTGTATACTTAGTAAATAGTAAATAGATAAATAAGTGATTTAGAAAGAAAAAAAACAATATTTGGCACGTGTCTAGAAAATATTATACAAATAAAAATATAAGTATATTAAAAAATACTTTTAAACGTTTTGTGAAAAAAAATGTAGATACAATCAAAAATAGGACTCCAAGCGGATTTTAAATGATTAGGATATTTAGTGATCATTAGACAATATGTATGTATATATATATATATATATATATATATATAAATAAATATAAACATATTGTCCTATTAATACACACATTACTTAAGACTATTAAATAGAAAAAATAATACCGCTTCAATACAATAGAGTAACAATAATAACAACAATAATAATATAACAAAGAGGTATACATGAAATTATTGTATACTAAAATCATAATTGATAGAAATATTCTACTATATATATATAAATATAAAAAAAAAAGATGAATAACATTATACTCTTCTAATAAAAGAAATAATATCACCAGAGAATTAGTAACAAGTTAACAGTATGAGAATAAATACCAATAAAAAAAAAATTAACATTATAAAAGTTTATTTTACTTTTTTCCGTTTTGTGTTTTTTTTGTTTGGTAAAAAAAAAAATTTGCATACCCTCAAAACACGTAGCTTAAGTAAAGATTTTATAATTCTGTTATGATAGAATATTTTTAAATAAATATCCATTAAAAAAAAATATTTTAAGTAATATATATATATTATAATGTGTTTTAACATAATGCCTAACAAAATTTAACACTGACCTTTCGGTGAAACATTTCAACAAAATTGATTACTTCAAAAATTTACTCAAAATAAATTATGCACATTTACTTAATCCTAATAATAACTTAAGCAAAATTAGTAATAAAAGACTTGACATATTGAAAAATTAAAATTCTCTGCGACATTGTAATATACTAATATCACACATTATTTCTATTAAATAAATTTTTGTTCAGTTACATGCGTATATAATATATATAAATATAAATACATTTATATTTATTATTTTTACATATTAACTATGCGACAAATGTAATATAAATTAAAACATCTAGTGAACACATAAAAAATCAAAAGTGAGATCCATTAATATCACTTTATCTCTTAATCTAATAGACTTTGTAAATGTAAATATAAAGAAGTTTTTCTCCAGGAAAAATGTTTTGTTTAAAAATCAAACGAATAAAAATATTTTTTAGTTATTTAGGAGTGACAGTCAGTCCTGATGTAAAAAAAAAATATCAACCTATAAATATTTTATGAATTTAATTTTTTTTATTTATATATATATATATTGACGTCTTTCGTTTTAAAAAACTATTGAAACCCGTCGTGGAAAATTTAAATTTTCTAATGAAAACGATCATTCAATTGATGAACTAAATGTTGATTTTGATCACCTGAAAACCAAAAATGAAGCATTTTATATATAATTTGATTCTATATAAACAATTATTTCCCATAGAATTACCTTGATCATTAGTATTTGATAAATCATTGTTATCCACTATTGGACAGCAAAACTGATTGTCATTGTAATGATTGTTATTGTTGATCGTTGTGATGGGTTTGTATTTGTCACCAAACGGCGGACACAATTCAGTTGGCATAGGTACCTGTGATGGATGAGGAGCTTGTGGCGAAGTACAATTTATCAATGACATAGGACTCATGTTGAATATGTTTGGTTGTAACTTTAAAGTTGGAAGTTTGACCACCACAGGTGTCTGAAAATTCATAACATTATAGTACAACACAAATATATATATATACACAAACATTTTTATTTGTTATTTCAATAGTATAATAATTTATAAGTTTAGATACAGTTAAATCACTCCTAAGAATTAATCAGATGAATGGATTTTTGTCTACTAAGCTACCCACATAAGAAACCTCAAAATTCAATAAAAAAATAGACTGATTTCTTGATATCCTGTGCACAAATAGTAATATCAAATATCAGCTTGGCCTATTGAAATGTTACCATCATTATTGAAATCATTACATTCATACATGAAAACTTATTCAAAGTAATAATTTAAGATAATTATATGAAAACAAGTTTGATAAACAGTAAACATAAATTAAAGTTCAGATATTATTAAATCGCTTCCGAGAGATGATCACATGAATTGACATTAATTTACTGAATAAGCTTTACTAGAAATCCGGAAGTTAAATAAAAACCTCTACAGATTTCTCAACAAACTATATACAGTAAACAAATATCTATCATCAGCTCGGCCTATTGAAATATCATCATGTCTTTCACAATAAACAATTTCTTATTTTATATTAATTAAATTTAAAAAAAAAAAAAAAAAAATGTAAAATGCATATATTTATTAAATATGTTGCTGCAATGTATAAATAACAATTACTAATATTTTTTGTATAAATATGTACAAAATCAGAATTTGGGAATAAGCATATAATAATAAGTTTTTTAAACAATGGAAATCTGGACTAAACAAAGTCAACAGATGTACCACGTAACAACCTATTTTTATCATATGGCCCCCAA